AGCCTGCAGTTCAGCGTCTTAACCACTTGAGCCACCGCAGCAGGAAGGGGACTATGACCTAATAGGCATTACTGAAATGCCTTGGTGGGATGACACTCACAATTGGAATATTAGGATTGAGTGGTACAACTTATTTAAAAGGGACAAATAAGGAAGGGCAGAGGAGTCACATTATATGTAAAGGAGGTATACACTTGTGAGGAAATACGTGCATTTGAGCATGCAAGTCCAGATGAGAGTTTCTGCTTAAAAATAAAAAGAGTAAGAAATAATAGTGATATTATGGTGGGTGTCTGCTATAGACCACCAAGCCAGGCAGAGGATTGGAATGAGACACTCCTAGAAAAGATTACAAAGTTCTCAAAGAGACGAGACACGGTGGTCATGAGAGATTTCAGTTACCCGGATAGCTGTTGGAAGTCCAACACTGCTAAAAATGAAAGGTCCAATCAGGGGTCATTTGGGGGGGGACACGGGGGGACGCCATCCCCCCGGGTGAGGTGCGGGAGGGCGGGGCCTGGAGCTCCCTGCTGGTGCCCGCTGGAGGTCGCCGCCGCTGTGGGGAGGACACACTTCCGGTGATGTCAGGGGGTGTGGCATATGCTAATGAGTTATGCTAATGAGTCCCCCTAGCTCTTTTTCTACGAAATGACCCCTGGGTCCAATAAATTCCTGACTTGTCTTGCTGACAACTTCATTTTCCAGAAAGTGGAAAGGGAAACAAGGGGATCTGCTATATTGGATCTGATTCTTACCAACAGGGAAGAACTGGTTGACAGGTGAAAGTAATGGGCACCCTGGGTAGTAGTGACCATGTAATTTTGGAATTTACAGTCCTGGGGAAGGGAAAAGCTGTACATACTCATACATACAGGTTGGACTTCAGGAAAGCAAATTTTGACAACTTAAAAGTTATGCTGGGTAGAATCCCATGGTCAGAAATACTTAAGAAGGGAGTTCAAGAGGGATGGGAGTTTTTTAAAAGCAAAATACTGAATGCACAACCACAAACGATTCCTATAAGGAAAAATGGGAGGAGCCTTAAGAAGCCAAGGTGGCTCCATAAACAGCTTTCTAAAGACTTGAGAAATAAAAAAGACTCATTTAGAAAGTGGAAAGAGGACCTTATAACCAAGGATGAATATAAACAAATAACCAGTGCTTGAAGAGAGAGAGAGAGTTAGGAAAGCTAAAGGGTATGAGCTTAGGCTAGTGAAATGCTAAAAACA